CTGCAATTCCTATACTCTGAACACTATCATTTCCACTTTTGTCTCCGACTTCACTTTTTCTAAAAGTATGGGAGCTAAGGTCTCTCTGATCGAAGATTCTTGACATAATTTGAATTCTTCTGCATATAGGAGTTGCAGAATTGAAGCGCAACAAGACATGCCTTTGCTCATACAAGAACATTGCTGCAAATATGATTAAAGCTGATATTGAAGCCACCCCAGCAATAAGGAACAGGCCCCAAAAACTCTCAACACCAAGATTGTTGGAAGGAATCAAATTGTTGGGATCCGGACAGCTTTCCTTGGTGAACCATGCATCTTCAATTTGCTTCATTTTTTCACCCTGAGTAACATTCAGGATAGCCCTCGAAACATCTGCTACAAGACGGGAACCTCTAGGGAAGACCTGTAAATTGTGAACAATATGATCAGCATAAAAAAAAACATTGCATAGGTTAGAGAGAAGAATAGAGATTGAGAGAGAACTCACAAAACCGAAGCCATGAGTTTTAAATGTTGGGTCGACTGTGGTATATTTGCCGCAATATTTCGCAAGAACGAGCTTCACATAAGGAATTTCGTCGAAAGCAGCAGCAATACCACCATTGGCACTTCCCTTGACAAAAGATCATAAAGTTCTTCCAGAGACTGATATTTGATAAGCTGGGATTCAGCAAATTTTAACCCCTTCAAGATTCCCTCAACGAAAGAGCCTTGCGGGAAACCAACCTTCTCCACTTTCTTTAAGAGCTCATTGATGTCAATTACGGTAGGCTGGAGCCGTTCAAAGGTTAAAAGTGACCCCAAACTAACCGTGTAGCTTTGTGTGAGAATGAGGACGACGAAACACCATATGATTACCACGAACTGACCACTCTCTCCCCTGCAAGTACAATTCAAGAAGCAGAGAAAGTAAACAATCTTGAACTAAACATATGTGAAAGTCAATAGTAGTTAGTGCAACTTTGTAAATCGAGTGAAAGAATTATTACGATGCGCATACACCATGGTAGAGAAGGAGAACCAGAAGCTGGTGCCAGCTTGATACAAAGGAGGCCCTCGGAAATCTTCATTTATCCTGTGTTCTAGAACCCAGACAACAAATCCTATAAAAACAAAGAAGCAAGCGCTTGTCACCCAGAGGTCCAATGTCAAAGGTTTTAAGAAAACCCATGCATTCTTCCTCTTGCTATCTCTGATTGGTACAATCATTGATAATCCCGATTCAGTGTATTGCAATGTGAAGTCCACGTACCGTGACCTATTTGCGACAATCGTCGTATCTCCTACCACAGCATCGTATGTCTGTTTATGGTGGTCAACGAAAATTATAAGAAAAAAAAGCATTCAAACAAAATCAAGGTATAAAAAGATAAGGAGATGTTATACCCCGTTGTACACTTGAAAGATTAAGTCGTTGTAAGTCCCAGCGCTCTTGCCATCAAGCGTTGCAAAGGGAATGAACTCGTAGGTAACAGCATACGCCATTGCAGCCATTACAGCATTGAAAACATCTACACAGTATCCGGTGACTGAAGTAGCTGTATGGGAATTAGGATCCCATATTACGTTAACAAATTGACTGAACCTATCCTTCACTGGAACCCCAATCCTCAACTTCTTCCCATTTGTTGGGATCTCCCAGCCGCGGGGAGGAGAGGTGGTATCCCCTGGCCATATAATGGGACCAAGATTTGGCTTATAAGTAGAATTAGTGCTTCTGTTTACCAAATTCAATTTTCTTACAAGTCCAATTTCTGGTGTCCAGAACCCGATCCTTCTTTCCCTTTATCCATTAACGTTGACTATCTGAAATACTGATGATTGTAGCTGTCCACTAACAAAATGAATGTCTCCACTAAGACCCATGAATTTAATGCTCGACAACGCTCGGATAAGTTGTGTACCAATTTGTGAAGCCCCAAAAGTTTCCAGGTCTGTTCCAGTACTGCTGGAAACATTAGCTCTCTTGAAGCTGAAGTGTCCCATGCTAACATTCTTAATTGCCATGGTCAGTGCAAAAGTGGCGTCATAAGCCCACAGTCCAAAAATGTTCAATTCAGCATTAATAATGGTGGGATTGTCTAGCTGGAATTTCCTTTTCCATCGAACAGTGAAATTTTCTAGCTCATTTGTTCTGGGAACGTAAGTCCTTACACCTAGAACCCCTTCCATGGAATCGATGGTTGAGGGATCTGTTAAACTCCAAAGATTAGTCATTCCATCAGTCACGACCCAAGCATAGCCCACTCTCATCATTCCAATCCGTTTCGCCATGGAAAAAAGCCTAGTGCCCAGAGATGGTGGCATGTGCACAATAAACACTCTTGTTGACATTGTCATTAGCTTGTAAAGCTCTTCGCTAATTTGGTCATCACTGGCTGATGAAGGGATGACAAGGGACACGAACATTTATCTCTTCTAAGGCGTCTGTCAAGTAAGGAATAATACCCTCCCAGAATTCATTGTCAACGTAGATTGGCAAAGCTTCTCTCCATCTGAAGGCTTGAACAATGGCACAAATGGCTTTCACTTGAGATGAGTCATTTTGTGTAGCTCGGAAAAAGTGGGCTCCAAAGGGAGGTAAGAGAAGGGCTTGTTGCCGAAAATGATATGACTTGAGATTTGTTTCCGAGATTGATAACAAAATTGGCCTCCATAGAAGTCTGTGGCCCATTGATTGCTTGCACTTGTACATTTTTTATCAAGTCTAGCGCTGTTTGTCAAGCAAACAAATGAAGTCTCACTTCAATATTCAATCTTGATAGTCATCTACACTAATATGATTAGCAAAAATCTCAATTACATATTTTACTGTTTGGTAACTATAATATATATGATCATAAATATTAATTGTATTACCTCCCTTTTCTTATTTTTCTCTTTTTCAAAAAATATATATAAATAAAACTTTAACAGTTAATTTCCAATAGGTTTAATTAACTAAATGAAACAGACCATTTGCAATTTTCATCCAACTTTCTTAATTACGTACTAGTATTTTTTTTTCACTAAAATTGTACCAAAAGATAGGAAAGATTAACATGCAATTGGAAAGAAATACATATTTATATATATATATATATTTATATAGATGATACTAATATTAAATATATACATCTCTCCATTGATAACGATGCCTTTCACTGGCTTTCTTTTAGTCATTTTCAAGATAAACTAGTCGTATAAATATTTTAGTGGGTTTCAAGTTAAATATTCTCAACGCCGCTGTGAGTTGAACTTCAGAAAGGAAGAGCAACTAAAGAAAAGAGCAGCTAAAAAGAACGATATGAAAGGAAAGGAAGGAACAGCTCAAAAGAAAGCAAGGAACTAAACTTAAAGGGTCAAGTCCCTACTCTATTCCAGCCCTCGAATGTAGGCCGGTGGACTTGTTTCCGCTACTAAAAAGGACCGTTTCCTTGTTAACTATTATATTTAATAATAATATTGTAATTAGTAATATTGCAATTAGTATGAAGTGATTATTTCAAAAGCATTGTGTGCAGTGTATTGATTTGTTATTTAATTAAGTTATAATTTATTAATTGATTATAATATAATAATTGATTATTTAATTTATTTTTATGGATGTAATACTTAATTATCAGTATAATTTAAAAAATTATTTCAAAAGCGTTGTTTTTGTTTTATGATTTGTGAAAATTAGGAGGACGAGTCAATGGAAATAGAGTAAGTGATCTGAGCAACTGAAAATCTAGACAACTTGGATTTTTTTTTTCTTTTCATTTCCATCCTCTTCACCAAATCATACGCAAAATGTCATCCCTTTCTTTTTTATCTTTCTTAATTTCCCCAGCCCAACTGATTCTTAAACACTGCTTGAGTGCCAATCTTAGGCTGTCACCTTGACTTCTTAAATTGAGCAAGGAATTGAATTCAATCTCTGAGGAACTCAATTTGAATTCAAATATTTGGATGGCTACTCAGTCGTTTTTCTGAATTTCCTAATTGCTTATCTAGTCGAATGTACTAATCAGCCAACGCATTAAACTCTTACAAACTGGGGCAAACGTTAGCATGTTTAGAAACAACCATGCAATATATATTTATGGGATGCGTTATTCCAAGGCTGACATTTGGTTTATTAAGTTATATATTATGTTGGTTCTTCCCACCCCTACAGGATATGTTTTATAATGTTATAAATACTATATAATACACAGTATTTTTCAGAAGTTGTCTCCAATACAAAGCTCGGCAGGGGCAGGTTCTCCGATCAGAGTTGAGCAAAGAAGTCAACCTGTTTCTTTTTTCCTCGTATACCTTGTCAAATTTCTAGTAAGATTTGAGTCTACTGGGAAAAGTAATTGCTTGATAGTGATATCCCTGACGTTATAATGAAAGATACATTGCAGTTTCTTTTTGAATATGTTGTTTCTGCTCCACTTACCAAAAATGTTATAAAATAGTTTCCTTTTCAATTCTGAAAATTTTAAAGTTATTACTTTATAAGAGTAACACACATGATCTGATAAACTAAGAACTAATTAAGTTCATTAGAAAGAACAGAGTATGTGCTTCTGTTTGCCAAATCCAATTTTCTTACAATTCCATTTTGGGTGTCCAAAACTAACTATCTGAAATACAGATGATTGTAACTGCCCATTAACAAAATGAAAGTCTCCTCAAAGGCCTCTGAAGTTAATGCTTGATAATTCTTGGATAAGTCGTGGACCATTTTGTGATACTCCCAAGATTTTAAGCTCTGTCGCACCATGCTGGCAATATTTGTTTTGCTGAAGCGGAGGTTAGCAGTGCCAGTTTTCTCAATTGCCATGGCCAGTACAAACGTTGCATCATAAGCCCATTTATGCCTTTATATCTAGTACGATATTATAATACTATTATTTTAATTATTGTACTTAATAAAAATTGGGTTGAATTGAAAACTTGAAGAAAATGCTTGAAGCGTAGACTTCATTTTTAATTGAGTCTAGTAAGCTTATCTATCAGTAGTCAACCCAAGGACAAGAGTGAGCTTGCCGCCTGTTTGCTTGTTAATCCAATCCTCTCAATATAATAATCACCTTCAAAATTCAACAGTGAACGGACATTCTGGGGAGACAAAGCGAGCAGCAGCATGCTATAATAGCACTAGCAGTAACATCACAAAGATTCAAAGACGGAAGTAAGCTCAATACAAACAAGTAATCGACATGGTTCGATTCCAACTATTCATCTCTAGAAGCAGGATCGATCCCTGTTGATGGGCTATCAGCAAGATACTCGTGTTGCTTCACATTCACTCCGTACTGCTTATTCAAAGAACAAAAACCAATTACTTCTAGATACAAATGAAATATTATAAGAAAAATTGATCCTCTTAGTCACTGAAGACAAAAGAAAGGTATCAGCATTATTTAAACATATGAACAATTCACCAGAAGGCTTCTCAAGCAAATAAAGATTGACTGGACATACTCTTGTATTTCTCAAGGAAATTAACCTATTTAGTTTAGATATTAGAATATTCTGCATTTGCCTAAGCAGCAACAATATGCATTTCCCATCATAATTTTGACAATGTCATGTTGTGAAACAAATATATGCCTTGCTTCTGCTTTCTCTTCATGATAACTAAAAACAATCAGCTCTTATAATTGCTAAACATGGATCAAATTTGTACAGTCTATGACAGTGTGTCAACAAATTTGACTAAAAATGTAATTCCCTTTCTAGATAAATAAGTGGATTAACTCAACTAGGATTAAATTAATAAAAAACCATTCATGTGACACAAAAGCCAGAAGTTACTTCTGGCTTACTGAGAAGGGCCATCTTATACACATTGTCTACGTAACCTGAGTTACACATCCTAACCTTTGTCCACAGTCACTAGAGCCTGAGTGCTGAATAGAGTGGTTAATAAAAAATATTTCAAATCTTGACCACTCATTCAAACAAGCTTCAATGCGAAAAAAAAAAAAAAAAGAAGAAGGATCAATTGTTCGTCATGGCATTCTTTCTCAGCATGTTGATTTCTCATAAGAAGCAGATAATACATTAGCAACCCGAATTTTAACCTAAAGAGAAATTGAATTTCCCTTCAGTGAGCTATTTAGTGATAAATGCTAAAACAAAATGCTGTAACATAAACTAGAATTTTCTGCACTTGGATTTCAGAAAGAGGACCAATATAGAAATTTAATGCCTACCTCATGCAATGACTTTGAGAGATCGTCCATTGTCAAGATTAGGCGCTTGTCCTGTTCCAACAAGAGAGTCAGACAAACCAAAGAGGATCAGCAAGCTTTAAAAACAAACATAAATAGATCACCTTTTGCTGCTTCTCCCTTTTGTCCTTGACAACTGCAGCCTGCCTTGCGTTGCAATGCCTACAGTAGGTGTAAAATGTCATAAGCAAACATACAAACTTAAACATGAGCAAATCCAAACTGAAACTACTTAAAAAGTTTGCTTATTTCTTTAAAATTTATCCCAAAGAAATAACTGATAAAAGCACAGAAATTGAGAACATTAAAACTTTTTCCTTCTCCTCAAAGTCTTAGGCATTTCACAACTTCCATGCAAATACTTACATAACAGTCTTGAAATTTCTGCAAAGTAATTTCATTTGTTCTTAAAAAAGAAAAAAAGTTAAAAGTTTTGGTGTCGCACTGTAGTGCATCACTAGCAACCTCGGCAACAAACTTCAGAGTAGCAACAGCTACAAGCCTTATTCTGCAATAGCACAATAAATGTCAAACGCGATCAAACGTAGATGAAAAAAACATTAACAATGTGAAGTTCATGCCATCTCGTGAAATCGGAAAGTATTCAAAATAATGCTCGAATTAAAGGAACCCAACTCTCCATCCCTCTTTTTCGAGATAAAAAGAAAGCCAAATAATTCAGAAATAAGCAGGCTACCAGGTAAAAGACAAAGCTTTTGTTTATTTTTTTCCCCAGTTTGTTGAATATAGGAAATTAATGGTATGTATCTGTCTCATTCTCGTCACAAAGCAGTGAATATTAAAAAAAAAAAAAAAAAAGAGTTTCGAAAAAAAGTGTCAAACCTTCGCCATTTGCGTCTTGGCATCTTAATGAGCAACTTATATAGCTCATGTCACCTGGCACGCGCTTTTTAATTGATTTTGGGCCGTCGTTCGGAGTTGACACTCGACAGCCAGGGGCCCAAGGCCACCAATTTACCGGTTATTATTACTTATTACTTTTATTATTTTCTCTTTCTTGTTTTTTATTTTTTATTTTTGTAATTTTGTAGTACCCTTCAACTCAACTGGTTTTAATCTTAAACAATTGAGGAAACCTTCATAAGATAAGCCACTCAAACCAGTTAGTAATAACTTCTTATTAGAAATAGTAATAACGTTAATTGTCTTAAATGGATAAAAAAAGGGGGGGGGGGATTTCATCAAATTACTACACCTTTTCTAAAATCTTGAGAAATGCTTAATTCTTGACATAAATAAAAGAAACATATGATAGCCTCCCTTTTTTAGGATTGAGCGAAAAGTTCACCAAATCATGCCTGTACCAGTCACTTATGTTCCAATGTCAACTTATTTGACTATAACAGAAGCTAATGCCTGACAATTGTCAAAGGTAACTACACGCCATGTTTTCAGTAGGCCAGAACAAAATATCCCAGGCATTCCTGGAGAATTTTATTGCATCTGAGTGAACCAATGACCTTGTTTAGTTCACTGCCTAATCACAACTCCATCAGCAACCATTATAAGAATCTACAATCAGGCAGATACACCTTAAACCGCTTGATATTGACAGCTCCATATTTTTGAACAATGGGAAACGATGCAAAATTATTCTAGTTCAAGTTATCTATCTTGACATTTGCTGGCTAAATCGTTGTATTCCATAGACATCTACAATGCCTGGGGGGAACACAGGATCAGTTGCCGCCCTTACTGCAACCTTGGCTACCGAACTAACACTAACAGGAGGAGTAAGCAGGGGGCCAACAAGTGGCAGCCGGTTCAATGGTTTTGCATGTTGGAGAACCTGCACAGAGTGAAGAAGCTTGGTCAATGACTAATGGAACATCTCTGCTTCTGCACAATAAGCATCATTAGAGTTAAGCTAGGCACAGAATCATCCATGGCAAAATTTCTTCTCATTTAAGTTGTGCTTTTATAATCTTTTGTTCTTCAAATATTGAATGCTGTCAAGCAAATCAAATGCCGACTACTCTCACCAACTCCCGTACAAACTGGGATGGATCATTGGACCCATGCATTTTCCCATAGAAACAAATTAATTGAAGACGATATACACAAGAAAAAAAAAAAGAAAAAGTAAAAGCATAGGCATTTACCAATTCCAGTGGCGAACCAACAATACCTAGAGGTATCTTCGCACTTCCAACCCTCCGAGTCCCATAAATGAAGCCAGGCCTCAAAATCACACCTGAAATAGAAAACACAAAATCTTTTGTGATGTAAAGAACCATAACTATTTTTTTAGCATCCGTGGGTCCTATTAAGTAGTGAGAATTTCATGTTATTAGCAAGACTACCATCCAAACTAACACTACTAGAGCTAACCATTAGCAATAAGCAAGTGAATAAGAAGCAATGTAAATACTAGCTGCAGAATATTGAACAAATTACAGCAAGTGAATAAGAAAACCTACCACCATAAGGAAACTTGGTCAGCAACTCTGTCTCAGCAGCTCTCTGTGCCAACAAGAAAAGAAAAAGAGAATTTTCCATCAGAGAGAAGATAATCAGCAGAAAACTTCCAGAATGATTATTCCATTTGCACATCAAAATCATATTTTTATCTATATGCTGACCTACCACATCTTGTGTAGAATGGTAAGCATAAACACAGGCAATAATAACTTATCCATGGCAGACACCAGAACAGATGGCAATCAGGAACCAACAGCAAAGAGAAAAGTACCTTCCCCTCATAATATCCTTTCAGTAAATAGTTTGCCAAGCCAAAATCAGCAGCAGAGATATAAACAAATCTTTTCACACCTACAAGCAAATTTAAAGGGCCAATCAGAAGAAGAAACTAGGTAACAGACCATAGCTAATGATACTAGTACCAAAGGCCAAGAAGAAAATAAAAATGCAAGAACACAGAATAAAAACATTGACATACAAAGAAGTTTTTGGTATTTCTTCTCCCTTTTCTTTTCCTTTCTTTTTTTTTTTTTTTTTTTTTTCAGAAAGGGGTGGAGCTACTTGCAAAAGGAGTAATTCCAATAGAAAATTAAGATTATTTTCCATTGAAACACCAGATTTCCTAAATAGACACATCAATTATCTATACCTTTCTCTGAGGCAGCTCTGATTGCATTGATGTTTGCAGTACCATTAATCTTATACATATACGAATTGGATCCAAAACCACCAACGCAAGAGATCTAAAAAATTAAACTTAATTAGACAAATTGGGTCCAAAACCACCACTGCAAGAGATCTAAAAAATTAAACTTAATTAGCAAGAAAAAACATAAAATCAAAGAAGAGAGTAAGATTCAAATTGAATCCTAAGTAAGCTGGGAAATTTGAAAATGAATGCTGCATGTAAATTATGGAACCATCATGCATGGATGAGCCCGTAAATTTAGTTCAGATTTGATATTTCATTGTTAAGACATCTGCAAAGTTAAAGGACTACATACAACAGATGTCACTCCATTCAGAGCTTCCTTCCATGAATCAGATGAAAGAAGGTTTCCTGGAAGGCAAAAACATGTTAGACGCTTTACAACATGCCACCAACAAAATCATGACACGTAACTAAACAAAAGAAACCTTGATGCCATGTCACATTTTCAGCCCAAGAGTCACTTAAAGATGACCTGCCAGACCTAATAAAAAGAAGCAAAAAAATTATGGAATTGGAGCAATACAAGTAATTGGTGAAAAGGGAAAGGAGAAGAGAGCAGAGCATAAATAATATCAGGCATTAGTTTCAAATAAAATTTAATCTTCTATGAAGATATTCTGTAAAACAATCATTTGTAGCAAGAATTTTACGAAAATTGGAATACCTGCTGAGGCTGGCAACAGCCAAACCACGATTCAAAGCTTCCCTGCAGATATGGGAGCCAACAAATCCATTCCCACCCAACACAAGCAGCTGAAACAAACAATACATAAGTCGAAATAAAGGCATATATTAAAAAAAAAAAAAAACCCAACATTACTAAATTGACAATACTCTAAAAAACACCTTTTCAGAAGGAGGAGGAGGTACTTCGACGGTCTCTGCTTCTTCAACTTTAAGAGGCTCATCAACCTTGTTAGACTCTGTTGACAGAAATCTTCCATTCTTGGACCCAGCCATTGCACTGTTTTATTACAAAGGAGAAGGTCCAAGCCCAACAATAAAATTATTGCTCCAAATATAGCAATAATAAAGAATAAAACTGAACCTTCATTTCCATAGAACACAATCTTTACCAACACTTTATCCCCATTAGAGGAATTCGGATTTCAATTGATCGCAAAACCTAGAGAAGATTATACTAACATAATAATTGATATAAAAAATTAACTATAGTTTCTGAAATTTCATGCATGATCGAATTCGAAAACCTAGTTGAATAAACTAATCGTAGCAAAAGACGAAGCAGAAGAAAAGAATATAAGCTTACTAGAGTCTGGAGAGTGAGAGTCTGGACCGGATCATCCGTGAAGCCATGGCGCTTATTTCAAATTCCTTTATTCGATTACACTCCTTTGTCAAATTGGAATTTTCTAAAACAAACGCTTCGGGAAGAAAGACGCTCGGGGAGGCGAGCCCACTGTCTTATGAAGGGAAAGGAAAAGTGTTGTGTTAGTGACGCGGGAGAACGGCGGGACAACACGTGGCCGGTAATGGTAACGCCTGGTAGGGAACCACATGTGGCTTATTTTTAGCCTACAGAAATATTTTAAAAAGCTAAAGGGTTAGGTTTGGGGTTTTATGTTCACCGGACCGATGGTACATTTATTTGTAGTGCTAATCTATTAGGGCTAGCATTTTGGGCTGAGTCTGGGCCCCAAAGTGCCACGAGTCAGACAGTATGTCTTGACTTATCACCAGGCTTCAAAGGTCGACCCATATATCTCATTGGAGCAATGGGCATCAAGGCCCAATATTTTTGGTGCAGTTAAGCCACAGAAGTTCTAGCCTTTATTTTTTGTTGATGACTCAAACTAGCCCAATTGAGAGCATTTCAATTTGGGCTTTACTTTTAGTTACTCCATAATAATTTAGTAACTGCCATTCTTTCTTTTCAGGACCCCAATTATACAAAAGAATTACTAAAGCATTTACTAGTAATTAACAATCCCGTTTTCTCCCGGAATGATGGGAATTACTAGAGAGTTTGAGGAATAATTGAAATAAAGGACAGGACCTAGCTCTTAAATAAGATGTAGAAACTAACTGATTTAGCATCAACCTATCTAATACATAAAACCATTTATGCAGTGGCGAGAAAAAGCATTAAAATTAGAATAAAGGATAGGGTTTTATTATATACAAATATACAGCTCAAGATTTTATCTAAAAATTATGTATATAGTTAAATTGTGCTTGGAAGTGTATGTGGGTGCTTTAATTTGTGGCTTTAATTGGTGCAGCCTTATCAAGCGGGGAAGCTACGCCATAGATCCCATTCCAGTGGGTTGGCAGGCAACCCGTATTCGATCTTTCCAAGCTTTCTTTTTTTTTTTTTTTTTCTCCGCTTTGTGTTGTGACAAGAGATTCCAACACCGAATCCTTTGAGAAGTCCAAATTTAATAGTGGATTAGTTTGGACGCTAATAGCTAACCTTTGATTAAAAGAGGAATGAAATATGGCCCCTATTAACCACTTTGGGCTGTGTCTAATTTAATAATATCCTTATTATATTGTTATATTCAACGTCATGCCAACAAATTTCCAACCTTTTTACGTAAGTTTCAACGAGTTCTTCATTTTAGTACTGCCACTTCCTTATCATGCAGTTTAATTAAAAGACACCAAAACTGGATGTGCCTGAAATGAGATTAATTTAAGCATCTAGCTAGAACGACAGAAATTAATTAAGCAGCTGATGAATCTAAATTTGGAACTGGTTTGTCAGCTCATCACCCGTCCAGCACTATATATATTTTGTGGTAAAGGACGAAAAGAACTTGAATCAGTAACCAAGATGCTTTGCACATGAAAAAACCGGTAACATAATTAACATTATAAAGGAAAAATGTTCTAGCTGAATTCAACAACTCTATAATCAGCTCCAATTTGATTATCTAAATGGGATGTTAACCGTCGAAAACACGGAAAATATACAGTATAATAGCCATGCATCTTTTTACACCAAAATCTACAGATATTGCGTGCATCAATGGTAGCACATATATCACCGGTAAAATAATGATGTTGATAGAGTATGTGTAGTACTAGTAGAATATATTTTCTTGTACTTTCGCATTGATCTTTAAAAATGATGGAACAGCCTCTAGTTATGATTGGGAATATATGTCATTTATATCTAACAAAGATTATGGTTGATTAAAAAATGAAGGTTAAAGTAGAAAACAAACGTGGAGTCTGATTATATCACAAAGTTGTCAATAAAGAAAGGTGACACTGTCAAATTTAATCAAGAATAAGAAAAAGTTAGGAGCACATTTTTCAGGTCTAAGTGGCTTAGTGTGAAAAGAAACGAATAACAACTGATCTATAAATGCTCAAAATGCAAAATTTGAAAGCATCGAAATAGATACAGGCAAGTGCAGATAGGGACCGAGCATTATTTATGTAAAGATATTATAAATCTTTTGTTTGGGAACAATGGATTTGTCCCATAAACAAGATTAAAATTAAGGTGAGATCGAACTCGAGTATCAAATTGAAAACGCTAAAAAAGAGACATGATTAGGGTCAGAAAGCCCATGCTTCACTAGCAAAATCCACATAAAATTAACTAGAAAAGAGACACGAAGGAATTCCACCATATAGGCTGGACATTCATAAACTTTAGGGTGAAAGAAATTAAGTACATTTTGATTTGAGAGTAAAGAATGAATTAATGGGAAGTTGTAAAGTAATTGACAAAGAAAAGTTAATATGAAACACGTTGGATCCCATTGCCAAAGGAAAATTCAGACAAAGTGAGAGATGGTTGTGTTCCTGCCTGCTTGATTGATGAATTTCTTCTTCTATTCGCTGACATATGGCAGAGAACTCTTACGAGTAATATATAAGTTACAGTTAATCGCCCTGCATGTTTCATGGTTTCTGAAATTAATTTATTATACTTAATATAACCTTGAAGAAGAAATTTAAAAGAAACGTAGACAAACAACGCAAAATTTGGGTAAGACTTAAGAGGGGGTTTAGAAAAATATTTTCTACAAAAAAGATAAGAAAAACCCAGGGGACAAAAGCTGCATTATTGTTCCATTCAAAGATCAAGAGGACAAAAGCAAAGCTAAAGCAAAAGGAGATCCAGGATATCAAATTTATCAATCTGCATGCAAACAAGTTATACTTTGCCGCTGATGCGACTCCAAAGTAAAGAAGGCTGCTTGTGATAACATAAGTGATAGTCTGAGTTCTAGCTATTGGTTGATATACAAAATCTTTACTTGCCTCGTGAATAATCTATAATCACCATTCACTATGCTGATCAATATTTTACTTGGACTTAATCAAGACGCTTCCATTAAGAGTAACGCAAGATAAGCTGGATACATATATAATAGCTAGATAGAGCCAAAAGTTCTTGCAATTGTACCTTTGGGTGAAGGGCGAGGGAAATAAAGTTTGTCGATGATTAAGGGACCCAGATGCTAAGTGCGGTGACCCCTCGCTCACAGTACGGACTTGGATGACTAGCTATAAATTCACCGTCCAACAATCTGAGAGGGTCAGGCAAACTGCAAATAAAAGCATAAAGTGCTAGGTGGTGCTGGCTGAATGGAAGTTGAGCTTCGTGGTCTTTGCTAGTGCGCCAAAGCCCTTTTTGTCCTCAACTATTTTCCAAAGTTCTTGGGTCCCATCCGACTCATTTTCCACCTGATCACCCTTCTTTCCTACTGTTATTCCTATTATAATAATAATAATAATCAAACATGTTAGTACAACTGATCTCTTCTTGTGTTACTCGACCAACTGATCCGAACCAGTTGTATACTCGACCGACTCCAAGACATATATGAATATATATATCAAAGTGGTTATGAACATATATTCATATGTTCTCCTTTAATATATACTTTATTTAGAAAAGAATATACAAATATACATCCCGTCGATCAAATAATAAAATTGGATGATACACAAATAATTAAGAAATTTTGATAGTTTCAAGTTTAATTAAATAGAGTAGTTTTCCAAAAAGAAAATTTTGAGTAAAATTAATAAATTTCTCAATTAGATGATAAGATTAATTGTTGCTTTGTTGTCTGAAATGTTTGAGTTGAGACAAATATTTGATGCTCCTATTCTAAAATATCTTACCCATTAAAATTACTGCCAGGGATTTGAAGGAATCCATCTTTAAACAATGAATCATTAACCTATTAAAACTTGCTATAGTACTGAAGCTCACTCCATCAAAATTAATAGGTTTGAAGTGTGCGCTTTCACGTACTGCAGCCAGATAATTGCCAATGCTTCACGTATTTGAGTTATTCTTTTATTATTGTGTTGATGAATAGTTTCCGGAAGTTTGAACTTTGGACTTTGGACGGTAATAAACATTGCCTTGCTAACTTAAGGAAAAGTTGGACTCCATTTGAAAATTTGAGCCAATGTTCGGAAAACAGATACAGGAATGGGACGCCATTGCCAAATTTTACTATATCAGGAGTCAGGAGGACAACGACCCCAGCTCCCCGCGCACCCTTAATTATTGCCACTAATGCCATGGTTGAAGATGAAGCCCAATGGAAGAAATTATGCTAAAAGATTAATTTAAAAAAAAAATACTAGTATATTGTAGGCCAATACTGCAAGGTTAATATCTTCCCTGTGAAAATTAGAGGGGGTAATCTGACGCCTAATGCAAAATCATTGCCCGAATGATTACTTCACCGTAGACGTATAGAAAGGGAAGTGCAAAAGCAAGTTAAGGGGCCTCGTGCAACCGTTTTCCAACTAGATTTCACGGGTTAATCTGTGTGATCCTGTGACTTAACTAACTTGATTCATTTAATGTCCAAACAGACTGAGCGTTTCCTGGCGGTGGTCATGCGCTTGTTAGACTCAAATTACTCAGGTCAAACCGTCAAAACCCGACCCCATTTATCATCTGACTCAACTTACCGTCGCCTAACAGATGTTTGACTTTTGAAGAGGAATGGTGTTTTGCACTCCAACAGTCTCACGCTAGAGTTCACATGTCATTGACTCATTTTTAACCACGCAAACAAATACTTGTGGAATTGACGTATTGTGTGGTGAAAAATCATCATTCGGGTTTTAGGGCTGAAAAAAAAAAAAAAAAAAAAAAACCTAATCATAATGCTCAACTCGAAAAATCTGATTATATTAAAGTGCCAATTTTGCATCCGATTTTCTATATATATATATCCCGTAAAACATTGCAGCTTTCGCCTTTCCGGCTGTACACAAATACACAATCCGTATCATACGTAGTTTCCAAAAGGCCAGAACTTCCTCTAGATATACGGTATTAATTGGGATTCCTATGATTAATTTATATATATGCCAATCATCACCATTTATTTATGGACCTATTCCCGTTGAGCCCTCCTAAGATGATAAAAAGGCACCTCATCCATAATATACAGGCTGCATCTAGTGTAGCAGCAGCATGATGTTAAGGACTCTTTGCTACTTGCCCTAGGTTTTATATCATGCTGATTAATTTTGCTCAGTTTGTTTTTTTCTCCATGAGAAAATATCTTTTGCGTGGTTATAGAATTAGCTTATAATGAAAAAGTACTCATACTTGAATTATATCATCATCAATATGAATTTTTTGTACATTTATAGTATATATTTTAGCAAAGTCAAATTAATTATTTTAAATCAAATATTTAAATATTTAACTCAGTAATTAATGTATGAATTTTTTATTCAATGTGTAAAATTTAAATCTCGCCTTCTCAAATAAAAAAAAAATCTGAAACCTATACATAGTTTTCTAATTAAGAGGACACTTTTGGAAGAGTGAATTTTTAAGCGAGACAGCATGAGATCAAATCACAAAGCAATTGACGGACGAAACGAATGGAAAACCACAATAGGTTGTTGCCACTTTACCCACAAAACTTATGCTTTATTATCTTTTATTAAATGATTGTGGTGGAGCTCTCCATCAGCAATTTGAACTCAGTGCGTTTTTAACTGTACCCCAAGATATATATGGACCCCAAACAAACAACCAAGTGGCTCCCTTCTTGCATATACAATGGGTTAATTCAATCGTTTCAAGGGCAAGCAAGATCTTACACCACAACCCACAACGTACATTCTTTTCCAGGCACCTTAGTGGAGGCTTCGAATGACAACTCCTTTTGCGTTTCTATTTCTCATAAAGCAAAATTCATATATTCTATTTGATGTTACCCATCGTTCTTCTAAGCACCACTCTCACTAAAACCAACATTATGTCTTCAAAATGTCGCCATCCTCTCGCAATTTCCGATAATGGCTACTTTTATTTTTTTTATTAAAACTTTTTCGTTGTTAATTAAATTAAGATTTTGTATTATTTTTCTAGAAGCATTAATTCCCCCAATAACTACCTTCGAAATGACATTGGAAGATCTTTCTCTAAATTTTTTCTTTTCTTTTCTTCTTTTTTTTTGGGGGGGGGGGGGATTATTAGACATATTGGCATGATTAAGGAAGTATCCACTACAAATCACAATCTCCTGAATATAATTAGTGTCATCAGCATTTAAGTCAAGATCTGGGATTGATACTATAATTTGAGGCAAATAGAATATTGTTTCACTATCGAGTAAAATCAAATTTTCATTTTGTTTCCGCAAATAGCACAAACATCGGATTAGATACAAATCGGCTCTTGATTATGCCAACTTAAAACCAGCATGGAATTTGTCACTTTACGTCTATTCATGTGTTGGCACGAGAAGCATCAATGCCTTAGGATTAACATGAGTCCGATTAGGTCCATTGCCGATTTATGCAAATCAATTCTACATATCCCGCCTTGAAGGGGAAGTATTTCATGTGTAAATAATAAAAAGCCTATAAGCAAAATGATTATAAACCTAGAATTCCTAATTTTCGAAGAGGTACAGTGCAAATTTGGGCACTAAACAAAAATGTTTATAGTTGAGACTTGAGAGAATTGAGATTTGTATTTTAAAAGGGAATGTATATAGTCACAATTCACAACATTAGTGCCTTTATTGATTGTAAAAGACGAAAATAGGCACTCTTTAAAGATTTGCAATAAAATAATAGAATCGGAATCCACAGGCTTTAGCATCAGGTTAGATAGAACACATACTTTTTAAGCTTGGTGTACTATATTAAATATTATATTGGCAAGAACCAACACAATTTTAGCGAAGGAAAATGCTAATACCTAATATGCTATAGTACTCCCATAACACAGGGCTACAATTGGTGTGGTTCTTGCGGACCCACACGAACAATGGGTAGTTCAGGGCTCGACCAGAAGGCACCGTGGTCTATTGTGGTCACTACCCGGAAGCTGAGGATCTGAGCCAACAGCCAAGTGCACCCGGCCATCGTGTAAAGAGTAAACAACAACGTAAACAGGGCCAAGTCCGTGACCTAATCAAAAGACGGAAATTTCCCTCACTCTCTCCTGCTTATAAATAATAGTCCTCACCGCCTATGTTTCTCAGGTTCACACTTTTCAACTTCTTTTCCTTTCTATCCAAACCAACCCACCACCTTCTCTCTTAACAAGAAAAGTCTATACTCTATAAAGAAACACAAAATATGAGACCTATTAGCAGCTTTAACGCAATAAAAACAGCGAGCAAAGCCTCATTGTCACCATCGGCAATGGTGCAACTACGCTCTCCATGGCACTCTCCTGTGCCCTACCTCTTTGGAGGGCTAGCTGCGATGCTGGGTCTCATTGCTTTTGCTCTCTTGATTTTAGCTTGCTCCTACTGGCGGCTTTCTGGTCGTTTGGACAACAACAGTGAAGGAGCTGATGCCGAAAGAGATATTGAAAGTGGTGAAAAAGAGGGTGATTCAAACAAGCAGGTGATGGTTTATGAGGAGAAGATTTTGGTGATAATGGCTGGTGAGGAGAAACCTACGTTCTTGGCTACCCCTGTATTTACTAAAGCTTCCTCTTTTGGTGATAAAAATGGTAAGTTTGAGGACAAGGAAGGATCGGCGAAAGCTGAAAGTGGTGAGAAAGTGAAAGAAGAGATGGGTGATGATCAATGCCAACAATAACAGAAAGCTCAGAGAACCATCATGGTAGCCAACAACCCAAGACCAAAATTTAACCAGTGAGCTTAGCTCTTAGCTTCTTTCCTTCTTCTTTTTTTTTTTTTTTTTCATTTTGGCCTCTCTTTGCAGAGAGTGAGGATTTTCCCTGTTTCGATTTTCCTTTCTTCTTCTCTTCTTCCTCTTTTTCGTTTGATGTTTTTTGGGTTTTGCCGTCTCTGTCCTGAGAACTTGTTGCTGCTTTTGACAGTCGGGACACGTAAATTTTGCTGAGAAGATAAATTAGACGTGAAAGAGTTTTCTTCCCAAATCCCAGCTGATTCCATAAACGAAGCAGGTTACAATTTCTTGTGTCATCAAATTTTCAAAGCATTTACCAGTTGGCCTAACCAGCACATTTTGCCTTTGACATCAACAAAGGTAAACTAATAAAAACTAATAACCCATTATTGAACAATCTGGATGCGCTTGCTTGCCTACCTGCTGCCTAAAACTACTAAATTTCAGAAAGCAAACTCAAGTCCCAAGTGGAGTGGAGTATTTTACAGGAACAACGAAATGGATCTTAATAATTAAACTCTAATTATTGGCCATGACAAAATTCAACCTTTTTGAGCCGTTTGCTATTAGAAGATATGATATAAAATTTGATGGAATAACCTTTTGTTTGTGAATTATTAATCTAAATTTTAAAGTAGTAATGGAGGAATAAAGGAAAGAAAATGACTCAAATGACATATTCCTGAAAGAGTTGTTTATTTCTAGCTGGTTTCTCCGCTGCCAAGAATCTGTCATCCGATGACTTGTAGGTTTTGAAACCCCGGAAGGGAAGGGACACATGCCGACTTTTAATTGTTTCCGTTAAGAAGTTAATGAGAAGCAACCCTTTAGCAGCTGGGTTGCCGAACTGCGCGGCGCCGCGACGCCATCATTTGTTCTTAAATTAATTCGTTCCACCTTTTTGTCTTTTTCTTTATTACTAGTGCTTAATTACTATTGAGTATTTCCAAAATTTGAAAGATGGAAGCATGATAAAAAATCACTGATGATTTTTTTGGTACTAAAACGCAACTGATTTTGAATAGGTTGTTCTGTGATAGTGATTTTTTTTTAAAAAAAAAAAAAGCAATAGTGATTTTAATTTGCTACTACATTGTTTTTTAATAGAAGATGATTTTTTTTTTCTCAAATGCAACTTTCCTTTTTATTAGTGGGGTTTTTTAATTTTATAAGTGAAATTAAATTAACACATATTCAGTTTTTTTTAATTAATTATTTTTTAAATATATTTTATATTGTCAATTTTGTTTAAATCAATTTGAAATTGTTTGAATCGACTTAAATGAATTTTTTTCTTTTCGAGCTCAATTTGCATTTTTTTAGTTGATTTAAGTGTTAAATCAAATTTATTCGAACTTATTTCAAATTAGTTGTTTTTAATTTTATTTTATTATTATCATTTAGAATTATTTAATTAATTGAAAAATTACAAAAAAATATGATTATAAATAATTAATTAATTAATCAAATTATAAATAAATAAAAATAAAAATTAATTACAAAATAAAAGAATAAATTACAAAATAAAAAAGGAACTAGAAAAACAGAATTAAACAAAAGGTTGTGGTCGGCAATGTTAAGGGCTTCTTCTGCTCCACTCAGACTTGCATACCAGACCAATGCCACACAGTCCCTAGTCCCTGCCCATTCCACACTACAAAGGGCCAAGTCCCCAGCTGGTTCTTCCTATAAGGCAACAAAAACTTTTCAGATATAAAAAACCAATGATAATAAAAGAGGGGGCACCATCATAAAAAATACCTAGGCATTTAGCCCCATTCAACACCTTCATCGCTACAACCTTAGAAGGCTCCTAAAGCTCCAAACACTCACATTACCAACCATACCATAAAAGCCTCAACCTTCACAGATCAACCCAGCCCTAATTGCACTAGAGGCCTTGACACAACTAGTATTGTGTCTACAAGCATCCCTACTAGACCCCTATACCCAGCTCTTTAGAAGCCTCATCAATGCACCCAGACACCTCTCAACCAGCCACTTCCAAACCCTTACGTGCACGTATTCAGCCAAACCCGCATCCTAGAAACACCTAGCGCAAGTGTCACGGTCTTGGAGTGAAGTCAAAAATCTCACATCGATTGAGTACTAAAATTGATATTAGAATATAGAGTTTACACATTCTTCTTCTTGTGAGGTACTTTTTGTGGGATAAAATCGTGAGACCAGCGAAGTTAGAGCGGACAATACCTCACAAAAGTGTAAATTATGGTGGGTAGATTGATTTGAAACGTAGGATGAATGCATGTCAGAGTCTTAGAGCCATACGAGTCTAGAGGTTAAGTCCCGACTCATGACAAGTGGTATTAGAGTTAACTCTGAAGGTACTAGCGATGTGCCACCAAAAACGATGGGCCCTCATTGGAGTAAAGGAAAATGTCACAATCCTGGAGTGAAGTTAGGAATCTCACATCGGTTGAGTACTAGAGTTGATCTTGGGATATAAGGGTTCACGTATTTTTTTTTCTTGTGACGCACCTTTTGTGAAATAAAACCATGTGGTCAAAGAGGTCAGAGCGGATAACACCTTACAATGGTATGAATTATGGCAGGTAGGTTGATCTGAGATGTTGGATGAGTGCATGCCCGGGTTCTGAAGCTACATGAGCCTGAAGGTTAAGTCACAGTCAATGACACAAACCCTAGGTCCAGGTGCCTATACCCTTGACCCACCAGCGATTGCTCCAGCCTCTCCTATAGACCAGCCTATGCACTTTTTACCCAGCATTACACCCTTGCCACCATGCAGCAAACCTCACCATCCCCAAGCTACAATTCCAACCAAATCAAAACCTTTAACAGCAACCCATAGCCATAAACCAAAAACAAAAAAAAAAAAAGAGAAAGAAACTAAAGGCTTACTTAAGCTATTAAAAAACCCTTCAGCCTTTGAAAAACTAATCATAAAAAAAAAAAGTAACAAATTCAAAAAAAAATCATAGTCTTCACTATTGTGAAGAACCCAGCATCGCGTAACACCCTGAAAAAGAAAGAGGGTTAGATTCAGTGGTACCAAAAAAAAGAAGCAAAAAAGAGAAAAAATGTAAAAAAAAAAAAAAGATGACGGCGTATAAGGCGACTCTTGACTACTTGAGACATCTTAGGATGATCTAAATTATTGAAGATAGAGATCAAAAATGAAGGAGAAACATACTAAAAAATAAAAAAGATCAGATGGTGGACGGAGGCTAAAAGGCGATTCGAAGCTTTGGATTTCAAGTATAGATCTAGAAACATAAAGGTAGATTTGTGGAAAAAGATCATTGAATCCATGATGAGGAATAAAAAAGGAGCTTGGGACCAAAATTTATAAGTTGAAGGAGTTTGGTTTACGGTGGCCGTCGTCGACTCATTTGCCATTAGTGGGAATTTGTAAGGGGCTATAGTTTTTGAAGAAGAAGGGGATGGTTTTTTCAGGAAAAAAAAAAGAAAAAAATAAAGTTTTTTTAAAAAATTGATATCTATAGCACCAAAAAAAAGAGAAGTCAAATAGGTTAAGTTGACTAGACTCTTTTGTGAAGAGCCGCCTGTCCAACCCAACCTGTGACTAGCTCTTCCAAACCTAGCCTGTTAGCTCCATTGGGCTCAGTCCATGACCCAACTGTAGTAAAGTTCAATAACTTTTCTTGGGCCATTGAATTATTTTGTTTGGATTTTATTTCAAAATCAAGTCTAGTATGAATTCTTCACTTAATTTTATTTACATTTGTTACATTTATTTAAATATTTGTTTTCTTTTAATTTAAGTCAATAATAATAATAATAATAATAATAATAATAATAATAATTTTAAAGAAGGTAAAACATAAATATATAATATATAAGCATATAAAAAAATTCATTTTAAAAGAATTATAAAAATAAGCTTGCCTAAAAAGTTTACCTAGATGTTGAAGACTTTTAGAGAGGTTTGTAAATTCTTAAAATTGAAACCCAAACTTACCTAAAACCCTAAACTAGTTTTAATTTTATAAACATTTGCATGAAAACTTTTTATGAAATAATATATTCCCAAATACCACTCAGATGTTGAGATATTTAAAAAATTTTATTTCATTAAAAATTTTTATACATTTTCACAGCTAAAAAAAAATTGTTTTGTTAAAACCATGATTATAACAATACAATAATAATAAAATAATAAGACAAGATTTTAAAAAGTTGCATCCAAATTTTGCTTAGATGTTGAAAAGTCCATATGGTCTCTTTATGTTTGAAAACTCAATTCTTAAATTTGCATTTGATCATCATTTATATATGTTTCATTTTTTAAATTAATATATTCATTTATAATGCATATATATATGTTTGCTCTAGTTTTGAATATTTAATATTAATTATATTTCATTTTTACTATATAAAAGTTTTTTTCTCAGAATTTTTAGTTTTGAATAAATAAAATTAAAATAACATTTTGTGAAATATAATTGTTGGTAATCTACCTAGATGTTGAAGAGTCATCAATGATAATCATTCACAAAGAGTGTTATTTTATTATTTTAGATAGAATGTTGTGATAAATATTAAGCGAAAAGAGTTATTTCAAATTCTGCCTAGATGTTTGAGAATTTAGAAGTAATTCTTTAATTTAAAGATTTCTTTGATATTCTTAAATAAAGAAGTTTACTAAAATTGCTTTTTTTTCAAAAAAAATAATAAAAGAAATTATTATTAAATTTCAAATCAAAACCATTTTATCCAACGTAAAAAATAATGCATGATTAATTGGTATTAATTTATAAATATTGTAAGGGTACTAATCCCTTCCCACACGTAACCTACTTTCGAACTCGATCTTATTTTCGCAAACCAAAATCATTTTTATAATAAAGCTTTAAACCTATTTTATTATTTTATTAAAAAGATAAAATTTTTGAGTGATTAATCACACCTTAAAAAAGATTGATGGTTACTCTTCATATTTTTTTATTTTTAAATATTTTATATCTAGTAATCGAGTCTTCGGACCGACACATTATGCAGTTTAGCAATTCCATTGGGGTTTTTTTAGAATCAGGCCAAAATTTTTAATTATATGCTATTAATAATTATTCGATTTAATTGATTTTATTTGATATTTAATTTAATTCTCTTTATTTTAATTTTTCAAAAAATATATATATATATATACAAGTTAATAAATAAAATAAATTATATGTTAGTTATTATTTTATTTTGATTTTGTGCTTATGATTTATTTATGATATTTTGATTAATATGTCACTTTGTACACTTTTCATATTCACTCACATGCATAAGCTTTAGATACGGGCTCTATTCCTTTTAGAAGGTAGTAAAGTAATTACGCTCTCATGAGGTGATAATCTTCGTACTTGTTAGTAAAATACTTTCACTCATATTGAACCTTTTCTGT